GTTTTGTGTCTCTTTGTGGCTGTTTTGTGTCTCTTTGTGGTTGTTGTGTGTCTGCCATGTCACCCTCAGCTCTGACGTGAGCAGTGTGATGTCATTGCGCCGCCTTGTCGTCGGGGGGCGTGGCCAATCCCCAGGGCATGCTGGGTAAATACTGCGTCAGCCACTCCCCCCAGCTGCTCCTCAGCTCCTGCCGCCCTCCCCCCGTCACCTCCCATCCTCCCACCACCCACTGCAGCTCCTCCCGGCCTCCCCCCGCCGCCTCCCCCCGCCTCCCCTCGCTCCTCCCTCAGGATGACGCTGTAGCGCTTCCTGGACACTCCTCCCCTCCTCCCCCCGTCATCCTCCTCCATCGCCTCCCTCCATCCCTCCACCGCCTCCTCTCGGCTCTGCAGACGGTGCACAGTCTCCCGGTACACTCCCCTCTCGTCGCCGCCCTCCGTTGCCACGGTGTCGCCACCGTCTCTGTGGACGAACAGAACCGAGCGATACAGCGCCGTGGCTCCTCCCCCAGCCGCCTCCCCCTGCGCCCTGCCGTACGTCACCAGCCTCACTCCGCCTCTGCTGCTCCTCGCCAGCGGCCGGTACACCGTCCTGTACCAGACCACCAGCCTCGCCAGGGTCCCCGCCGCGCACGCCGCCGCCGCCACGCTCAGCATGAGGCAGCCGGCGAACAGCCAAACGCAGAAGACCCCCGCAGCAGCCACGGTACGGCGCCGCCTCTGGTCCAGGGCGTCGCCGGAAACCCACGACGGGACCGACTGGGCGGTCGCTGCGGTCTGGGGTTCTGGCCACGTTACGGCCACAGGAGCAGGACTGGTCGGACCTTCAGTCGACGTGGTCAAAGTGGAGCGAGTTGGAAAGTCGAGCAGCTCAACGGACGATTCCTTTGTTCGTACGTCTGAGTGATCGATGAGTCCGGTGAAGGTCGCAGTACTGGTCGAAGGAGGAGGGGTGGTAGTGGTCGAAGGAGGAGGAGGGGCAGTAGGAGGGGCAGTAGGAGGGGTGGTAGTGGTAGAAGGAGGAGGAGGGGCAGTAGGAGGGGCAGTAGGAGGGGTGGTNATAGTAAAGTCCAGTCTTTATCTCCTGGACTCGTCTCTCTGAACTCAGGTGGTTTCCAGTCAGTAGAGAAGTGAAGCTCCGCCCTGCACACCTGTCGTCCAACCGGATTGGTTCCTTTCTGCTGTTTCTTGCTGCTTCATAGAAAAGTCCAACCTGTGAGCTGATGAGCAGACAGAAGATCAAAACATCGTGAGATCCTGCAGAAATAAGGAGCAGCCTGAAACCCAGAAGAAGCCGTGTGAGTGTCAGACGGCTGCAGCTCCAACCAGCCAGTAGAGCAGATTCCTGATCAGCTGACTCAGGTCCGGAGCTCCTCGTCCTGCTGAAACATAAAACATGTGGCGGTTTGTAGAAACCTTCCTGCTGATTCTGTTTCTACCACCAGAGAAGGTACCAGCAGGACTCGGTGGGACATCAAGCGCACTGACACAAGCTCTGGTTCTGCCGAAGCCCACGAGGAACGTCCTTCACTGGCTGGTGACGTGCTGCCACCTGCTGGCTGCTCAGCTCTCAGCAGCTCCTCAGCACGGTGACAACCCTGTGCAGGGCCACTGGTCCAGCTCTCTGGTTCTAGGGTCAGGTTCTAGCTGCCTACAGGTTCTTGTCCTAATAGGATTCTGTAAAACTGCGTAAGCTGGTGTCGAGGAAACTCGCCTAGTCGCCTCAGTAGTCGGATCACTGGACCAGACACGCCTTTCCTCTAAATGGATCGAGCACTTGGTCACTGCCAGGGTAAAGTTTACAGGTTTGGGAGAACTAACCCAGAAATACTATCTACTCATGACTTGGAATAACCTTTAAGAACCACTGAAAAGATCTCATGCACACAGTTGAACTTTTTACCTCCATCAGAGACCGTTTAGTTTAGTTTACTAAGGTCCCCATAAGCTGCAGCAAAGCCACAGCTATTCTTCTTGTGAATGATCCAATAACATTCAGACAGGTCATCTTTAAATGCAGGATTTAACATTTATTGCAAACCGTGAGCAGAGCAAAGCGACAGCTCTGGATTATCATTCAAACATTATCACAACGTGATTACAACTGATGACTCCAGATAAACATGATGAAACGGAGCTTTTCTAAAGTGGAGGCCTCATAAGTCGTTTATGGAGGGAGAGCGCCGGCCAGCTGGGCCTGCTCAGACCTGAGCCTGGAGGAGTCCTCTGATGGTGCAGGGACCCAGTACAGAGTCCTCGTCCTCGGGCAGGACCCTCCTGTCAGGGGGAGATGAGATGTCCCGACTCCGATCAGATCTGCAGTAACTTTGGGGACGGAAGAGAAGTTTTCTTCAGGCAGGACACAGAAGAGCGTTCTGCTGCTCCTCTTCAGTAACCTGCAGCTCCATCGTGACTTCTCCGATCCACCGGCCAGCAGGAGCTCCATGAGCATTCACCGGTGTCCTGGTCCGAACGGTCTCCTGGTCCGGACGGTCTCCTGGTCCGGACGGTCTCCACGAGTGACCAACTCTCCCCCTCCACCTATCGACTGCCACCACACGGTTCATCCTGAGCACACACAGGTCTAATAGATGCTTCACCTTTTCACCCTGCTCATGATGAGTCTGTCATTAGCTTAGCATCTGATCACTTGTTTGGCACCATCTGCTGGTGGAAGAGGCACCGCTAGCTGCTTCAGCCGAGGACGGAGGCCTCGTATGACACGTTCAGACGTGACCTGTTTGGAGGACAACAAGCTCTCTTGACATTTTCACCTCTTCTCTCATCTTCAGCTGTTCTGCTTTAATTCAGCGGTCAGCAGAACTCACCTTTCATTCATGACAGTGTTAAAATGAGCACTTCAGATGTAAACACGTCACCACCAGACGACAGGAACCGCAGATGAGATCAAATGGAATAAGATATGTGATACTTCAGGCGTGTGAAGGACACATCCAGAGACAACACAACGGACCCACAACCAGCGCGTTATGGACTTTATTCAGGTGGCAGCACAACACATCACTTCCTGTGGAAACTACAGCGCTGAGGGAATAGAAGACCTGCTTTCATGTGCTCCAGCAATTACAGCTCAAAAGACTCTCATTATCTGGACATAACCAGCGGTACTCACCATGGCAACACAGACACACTAAACCGCCGCAGACAGACGCAAACCAAGACAAAGAGACACGACAACGACGCACAATTATTTTAAACAAACGCCAAGAGATGCAAACTGAATGTAGAGAGACGGCATCAGTCATATGTTTGCAGCTGTTTATGTCTCTTTGTGGTGGTTTTGTGTCTCTTTGTGGTGGTTTTGTGTCTCTTTGTGGTTGTTTTGTGTCTCTTTG